ACACTGAGATAGGTTTTTATAGCAAGTAAAAGCTGATATATTTTTCTTTTTTCAAAAAATTTCCCTAATATTTTTTAACCCATACTACATGAACAAGAAATGTAATATTAGGGAGAGTTTATAATTATTAGGGGTTCTCTGTGTTTACTTTTGCTGGGAAGAGAAAAAGAAATCCTGGTTAATTCTACTTTGTAATGTCACTTTGCAATTTTTCCAGAGTACAATAAAATAAAATGCATGGAATTATTATTACAAATCCATTTTGATTAATTTCTTCTCCCTTTTAAGGTCCAAGGGATGTCCTTCATTGCAGCAGTACTCATTCTTAATTTGGAAGAGGCAGATGCATTCATTGCATTTGCAAATCTCCTGAATAAGCCCTGCCAATTGGCCTTTTTTCGTGTGGATCACAGCATGGTATGAACATTTGGAATGGACTTTGTTTTCCTTTGTTTCTGTAGTGAATACCCTCTTAGGGTAAAAACAATAATTAGAAGACTAAGAAAATATGATCTAATATAAACTTTTCATTGTATCATAGTTTATGAATACTTGATGAGAAGACTCAAAAAGAGGTGCTTAATTAGCAAGATACTCTATTAATGTTTAAGGATTTAACTTCTCAATTTCTAGAGTATACTCTTTCATAATTTTATTGATTTTTTTTTATCTGTAGATGTTGAAATATTTTGCGGCATTTGAAGTATTCTTTGAAGAAAATCTCTCCAAACTATTTCTACATTTCAAGTCTTACAGTCTTACACCAGATATATACTTGATAGACTGGTAAGTCATAACATACATAAGATATAACAATGAAATAGAAATAAAGTATAACTTTTCATGTGTTTTAGTAACTAGAGTAAATCTCATGCACAGGATCATACATATAAAGAAACTTTCCTTGCAAATAGAAAAACTTCCACATTTTTGTGGGGATGCATTTGATTAAGAGCATGGACTCTGGATTGAAATCAGAATCTCTCAGTTTGTGTTTTAGTTTTTTGTCTATAAAATGGGAATAATATCTTTAGAGTTGTAGTGAGGGTGTTTTGCATGGATTATCTCATTCAGTGCCTAGCACATACATGCAATCAGAGTTAGTTGCTATTCTTTTATTATGCTGAACACACAAGAGCTTATGATAGTGTTTCTTCCTGAGGGCTTTATATTGTTTCTTTTTATTTTGAGGCTTTGTCCAGCTTTCTAACAGAAGAATGATGCCATATTTAGGTGCTAATGTATTTTTATTATCTTTCCAATTCAGGGTCTTCTGTTTTAATTCGGAGGGTTTGCCTGGCAAGCAGTAGCCAATTGATTATACTTTAGGTCATTAAATACAAAATGTCAGATTTCGAATCAAAAGTGTAGTTTATTATATCTCAAAAAAGAGGCCGGGTGTGGTGGCTCACGCCTGTAATCCTAGCACTCTGGAAGGCCGAGGCGGGAGGATTGCTTGAGCCCAGGAGTTTGAGGTTGCTGTGAGCTAGGCT